AGAACTGGACACAGTATTATTCCAGGTGAGGCCTGACCAAAGCAGAAACTGAAGTCAATGTGATAGCAAATAATAACAACCAATTTAAAATAAGGCCAACCATAGCACATGTGCAAATTGGATACAATCATTTAACCCTGAAGACTTTGCTAAAAAAAAAAAAAACCATGATTTTCACTTGGCACCAGAGCAACACCACTTTTGGCCCCAGTAGGGAGGGTATTCCACAAGCACAGAAGACCTGCAGATGGCCTTATGGATTTCAACCATCATTTTGGCACAGCTCAGTTATATATGGTCCAGCACACTATTACATGAACTACTAATATCAAAAGCTAGAGTACAGCTAAGGAAGAAAGCAAAAGCAGTCATAATACCAAGATATGATCTGAACGACGTATTGGCAGAATGTAAGGACAACATAAAAAACAGATTTGCTCTGTTAAGCAACCAGATGAACTATGGTCAGGACATAAGAAAGGAAGAATGCAACAAGACAAGAGATGGAATGAAGAATCATATGAAGATAAACCCAAATTCTAGAAAGTAAGGTGGAAGCTGCATTAAGAGAAATTGGGGAAAATAAATCTCCAGGAACAGATGACATTCCAATTGAACTGCTACAATCAACACTGACAGAATCAATTGTAGTGGTAACTAAAATATGCCAACAAATATGGGAAACCAAGCACTGGCCACCAGACTGGAAATGTTCAATATACATCCCCATCCAAAAAGGGGGGAGGGGACAAAAGAGACTGCAACATCTATAGGACCATAGTACCAATTTCCCATGCAAGCAAAATTATGCTTAAAATACTGCAACACAGACTCCAATCACATATGGAGAGAGAAATCACAGAACTACAAGTGGGATTCAGGAAAGGAAGAGGCACTAGGGACCACATTGCAAACATGGCTATTGGAGTGCACCAAGGAATTCCAGAAGAAAATTAGCATGTGCTTTATAGACTATATAGCAAAGCATTTGACTGCACTGATCAAGAAAAGCTAGGGAATGCTCTTAAAGACATGGGAGTGCCACTACGTCTGATAGTCCTGGTGAGGGAGCTATACTCAGGACAAGAGGCCGTTGTCAGAACAAAATATGGAGAAACAGAATGGTTCCCATCAAGCAAAGGAGTCAGGCAAAGCGGCATTTTATCACCATATATGTTCAACTTGTACGCAGAAAACAACGTACAACAAGCAGACTTCTTCTAGACTAGAAGAAGGAAGAGTAAAGATGGAAGGAGGGAACATCAACAATCTGAGACATAATAATACCAGTAGAAAACATGTGGATGACATAATAATACCAGTATAAAACATCATGAAACTCTTCTAGAACATGGCCACACAGCCTGAAAAACCCACAAAAAACCTATGGATGCCGGCCATGAAAGCCTACGACTTCACAAACATCATGGACTTGGGACACTTACTAAGGAAGGTCAAGGAAGAAAGTATAAAGGTAGGCTTGCTGCTGAACATAAAGAAAACAAAAATAATGACCATGGAGGATCTACATAAATTCAAATCAGACAATGAGGAAATTTAAATAGTTATAAGATTTCTCATACCTTGGATCAAACATCGTTCAGAACAGAGACTGCAGTCAAGAGATAAATAGAAGGCTAGGAATGGGAAGGGCAGCCATGAAAGAGTTAGAAAAGATCCTACAGAGTAAATAAAGAGCACTAAAGTTAGAATTGCTCAAGCCATAGTATTCTCAATCACAATGTTTGGATGTGAGAATAGGACAGTGAAAAAGGCAGATAAAAAGGAAATAAATTTATTTGAGATGTGGTGTTAGAGAAGAGTGCTGAGGATACCATGGATGGCCAAAAAAGACAAACAAATGGGTCCTTGACAAGGTCAAGCCTGAAATACCCCTAGAAGATATGATGACTAAATTGAGGTCACACTTTGGCCACATCATGATGAGAAGGCATAACTCATTAGAAAAGACGTGCTTGGAAAGGTTGAGGGTAGAAGAGAGGAAGACCACACACGCCAGATGGCTGGAGTTAGTTAAGGAGAACACAGACACGAGTCTGTAGGACTTGAGCAGAGCAGTGGAGGACAGGGGGTCTTGGAGATGTATCATCCACAGGGTTACCAGGAGTCAAGATTGGCTTGGGGGCAGTTAGCAACAACAACAATACTATTAACACTATTATATTAATTATATTAATTAACTGGAGAAAGAATTTCCAGGTTCTAGGGTGCAATTCAGATGTTATTGGACAACTCCCAGCATTTCCCCTCATTCCAAAAGCTTTGCTAACTGAAAGGGTCAGTCTTCTCCTTATTCTTCCCATTTGCAATATGGAGCTAATAACACTGACAAATGTCTAGGGTTTTGGGAAGGAAACTACTGGTTTTTCCTAGACAGGTTTCTCATTGGCATGCAACAGGCAAATGCTCACATGCAAATACAACCTGTTTGTGGACCCAGAAAAAGTAAGCTTAATGATGTACGGTATGGAGGACACACTAGAAGAAGAAGAGGAAGAAGAAGAAGAGTGGTTGGGCTCTCCAGCAAATTTTCATTAAGGAACTAATAGCTTGTGTCATGGTTTTAGATTGGCTAATGCCACTGTGTTTTTCTGCTCATAGCATGGACCCATTCATATGACAAGTTACTTACAGTCAGGCTGAGATGGAAGGAGCAGGTTTGAAACCAGCAAGTTCCTCAGGAAAGTGGGGAGCAGGTATGTTCTGAATCCTACATGTGGTTTATTCTGAACAAAATTAAGCATGGCATCGTGGCGGTGAAGGTGGATAGAATAAAATATTTCTTGCTTTCCTATAATCCTGCAATGCTAGTAGAGTATTTTCCAGTTCCCAAGGGGGTTGGACTAGGTGGCCCTTGTGGTCCCTTCCAATTCTAGGATACTATGAACTCTGTCAATCAGCCTTTATTATGATGACCAAGGACCAGCACTTCCTGACTGCAAGGAAGCAGAGAAACATAGGACGTTACAGAGTCACAACATTAGTCAAGCTGTACTGATTATTATTATGTTGTTGTTG